GACTAATGACTGAAAGCCAGGAATACGGATGAGGGAAACTCCTATCTCTACCACTACACCTGGGAATTCAACTGTCTATCAGCTTTTAGAAAGTTGCTACTCTAATCAGTCCTGGGTGCTGGGGAGAGGACTGCAAAGATAAAGAAGAAAATATCCCTTCCCACGAGAGCTTACAGCTTAGTGAGGTAAGATATACACAAATATTTATGATATGAAATTAACATAAGTACATAAAAGAGGCAGAAACTGTATAGGAGCAGAAGAGGGAAAGAAAATTCCACCCACCAAGGGGAGAATTAGGTCCAGTAAAAGTCATAAAATTCTCCTGAAAAAAGAAAATTGAAGTTCTTTTTTGCTGAATACATTGAGCTATGTGAATAATAAAATACTTACTTTAATCTGTTGTCCAAATGTTTCATGTGGGGAAAACCTGGCGCCGGTTTTGTCCATGACAAAATTCTTCCGTTTATCCTTGATTATGTATATTTCTGGTAAGAAGTACATCTGCTTACATGCTAATTCGATCAGTAATTTTTCCAATATGAAGATAAAGTGGCCTGCCAGTCAAACACAATTATTATATTAGTAGAGATACAATTCTCTATGATTCAGAATGAATGCTCAGCTAATTTCAAATAAGAACCCAAGGGGTAAAGAATAAAAAAAAACAAAAAACACCTTATTTAAGTTGTATATGGGTACACATGTGCATGTTATTCCATCCACTAGAAGGCAGTGTGGAGCACTGAAAATGGGTGGGACAGGATCAAAGAGATGTGTATTCTAGTAGCAACACTACCAATAACTTGTCCAGACTTGGCCCAAGTGACCTGGAAAAACTCACTCCCCCTTTCCAGGCCTCAGTTTTGTGGTTCTATATGTAGATAGCTAATAAACACCATCCAATGATCATGAGTTTGGGATTTGTTTTGGGGATCCAGATCTGTGACTTCATTCATGGAGGAAACTCAGTAGGAAAAAATATGCATTCCCTAATGCAAGTTAACAATTTGTCTGTAATTTAACATCTTAAGATAGTTGCCTGGGCCACTGAGAGCTTAAGTGACTTGCCTTTGCCCACATGGCTAATATGTGTCAGAGGTAGGTCTTGAGCCTATTTCTTTCTAACCCCAAAGCTAGTTCTCTGTCCACTATACCACACTGTATCTAAATATGAATCTGGGGTTTTAGGGGTTTTGTTTGTTTGCTTTGTTTATTTAACCAGTTGTGTGCTTCCTTCTGCACAAGTACAGATACTTAAAATGATTTGTATACCATGAAATTTCACTTACTAATAGTTCAAATATGTATATATGTATGTATATAAGTATGTGCATTACTCATTATATATATATATGGAAGGGGGAGGGAGAAGAGTCCTTTACAATTAAAAAAGAATTTGATTGCTTTCATATTCAGGTCAAAGAAGATTAAAATCTTCAGCTCATTGTGTAGTACATGGATAATTAGGACTGATTATCACTATCCTGTTTTGAGGATATCCACTAAAGTTAAGGATGACTTGAGAACTTTTATTTTCAAGTCATTAGGTTGGTTGCCTGAAAAATATCTGTGATATGCCTTAATACTTTATTTGGATATATAAATTAATTCATTTGTCACTAAGCAAACATTTTCCAAGCACCTACAGTGTACTTTGCTTGCAGTGCATTAGGAAAATTATAAAGATTAAATAAGATAGGGTGCTTCCCCTCCTACATTTTAAATAACATTTTATTTGACCTAAACCATAATAGGTATCATATCTTTTTCTGTATACACATACATTTTATAACCATCTCCTATAATGTCTTTTTAAATTGATGGTCATGCACATTGATGTCTTTAAAAATTCTTTATACTTTGGTGTTAAATAAGGGCACAAGTAAAACGTGTAAACATCTAAAAGATAGAAAAAACTAAACCTTTTTCCTATTTTTGAAAGCAGTGTTTCTATATTGGAAACCTTTTCAATTTTTAAATTTTCTCTCCACTCTTGGCCAATCTATTATTTCATTTTTCTGACACTTTTCCCTCCCTCTTCAGAGAGGTGATATTGATTGCTACCTAGAATTTGTACTAGAACCTCGGGGGGAAAATAAAGAAAAAACAAGGAGCCGTCTAGGATACTGACAAATCAGGAAAGCACACTGTTCTTCTATTTTCCGAAATTTTCTCCAGACTCTGACATAAAGACAAGTTGATGCAAGCAGATCTTGAATTTGATCACATATTACTGAAGTTTCCTCCACAAAATAAATGCTCCAAACTTCTTTAAGAATTTATGCAGCATCTGTCCGGAGGCACCCAAGAGTCTCTTGCTTTTAGCAGCCTCAGTCACACTTACACTCCCCACCTCAACCCCATAACGCTCACGCACGCACGCACATACACACAAGACACTCAAACACACCGAAATAGAGGTGAAAGCAATAGGACTCTCCTTGAGACCCAGGGTTAATTTGGCCACAGGCTCGGGAAGCTGCTGGGAGCTGTCCATGGTGGAGAGGCAATGGACCCCGCCCTCTAGTGAAGCCTCAGTTCCCCGGGGGGTCGGTCTATGATTCCTTTAGGGACTTACTGGAACCCTGGGCTGTGGGACCAGAGTTCTTCAGAATGCGAAATAAAGGGGAGAGCGATGAAACCTATGTAGAATTAGAAACTTTGAGATAGAGAAACATCTGCCCAGTGCAGGGGGTGTACACGGGGGAGGGGATGAAAAGGAAGGCAAAAATACTAGAATGTGCTCTGATGAGGAAGCCTAGAAAGGGTCAAAAGAACAGAGAAATGGGGGAGTCTCACCTGTAGCTCGAGTGCACGGGGTTCAGGCTGAGCAGTAGTTCCTGCAGCTGGATCCAAGTCCCTGAGGTTCAGACTTTGGTCTGTGGAGTCTCATATAGCAGCAGCTCACACCCTGCCTCAGACCTGATGTGCCACGAAAGGTCTCAATCTTGGTCTTCCAGGGCCAACAGGTGCGTATTTTCTGAGCTAAAGTGCTCAAGTGTGGCAGTTTGAGGCTCCTTGGATCCCCCATAGGGCTGGGAGAGAAGCAAAAAGGGGCAGGGGGATTCCTGTACAGCACCTTCCGGAGAGTGGGAGGATGTGCAGCTTGAGCTGCGGTCTACGCCCACAAACTTTCTCCAGAAGCCCTGCTCGCGGCAAACCTCAGCGGATTCAGAACACAGAAGGAATGTGGCCTTAGAGCCAGAGCAACAACTCCGGGCCCAACAGTCGAGGAGCAGCAGGAATCTCTGGGGTAAGAAAGGTCTGCAAATATCAGGAGCCCTATCAGACTGAGGTGCATCCAGGCTCTGTATTTTCTTTCTCAACCTATAATCCCAACACAACAGGTCACCGCTGTTCCTTCTTCTGCTTACAAGACAACACTCTTCAAGGACTCTGAGAAATCTCTATTTTATCCCAGCACCCACTCAGGACTTGATCAGAACTATGGTCAAACAAGGGCAGGATGATTTCCAGAAAGCAAAGCAAAATACAATAAGCTGCTTCTGTCTCTATCCACCCTTGTGCCAAACCTGAGGAAAAAGTTCAAGTTACCCACCACAAGTTACCACCTAACTCCCATTTGGTCTCAAAACTTACCCAGCCTAGCCTTTGGGGCAAATCTTACAATACCACCTAGGAGAGGGGCAAGGATGTACATCCAAACAGTAGCCAATAAACAAATGAGGGTCCTTGCCTCTATGCTGTATGATCAAGGAGCCAGCAGAAGACCAAGTTTCAAGGCCAAGTGCCATCCTGTTGGCTAATCATCATAGAGAGAAAATTGTCCTAACTCCAGTGCCAGGGAGTCAGGTGCTGCCCAGGCATCAATCTGCAATATAGCCTAGTAGCCTGAGTGCTGGACAAGAATAGAGAGGAGAAAGGGAGTAGGGGAGAGAAGGGACAATGAACAAGGGATGGGGTTGGGTACCAGACAGAGAAAGAAAGGAGGGACTGGAGAGGGAAAGCAGAAACACCCACCTGTTGCTTTCCAAACGGCTAAATGTGTCATGTTCTGTCTGCACCCACCTGCCTGCAAAACTCCGAGGGGTCAAGGTGAGGTAGAAGCTGTGGAAGTAAGGCTGCCCCCTGCCCTCAAGGCAAAGGCTAATCTGGACAAATTTTACAGAGCACACACTGACCCTGCCTTCGAAGGCAGAAAAAAAAATTATCTTTGGGGAATCCAAATAGACTCTGCAAGATGCTCCTGGTCATTTGGCTGACCATTTCTGTGTTTGTGGGAGTAAGCATTCCAGAGAAGACCCTCTCCAGGCTCCTTCTCACACGTATTCACACTCATACACATACACAGTATATATACACACTCCCGAATCCCCGTATACAAACCCCATTAAGAATGTGTCCCCACCACCAAAGTCCACCTCTCATTCTTTCCTACCCCTTGTAGCATCCGGGCAGCACCTGCCTCAAGTATAGAAGTTTCACATAGCACACACAACCCAAACAGAGGCAAAAGATAACATCTGAATACAGTGTACTGTGCTGACAGAAAGGCAGACGGAAAAAAAGACAGATGGGACACAGCATAGTCTAGGCAAGGACAGGGAGAAAGAAACCAGACCCTGCAATTCCCTTCCACCTACACACAGACTCTCTCTCTCTCTCTCTCTCTCTCTCTCTCTCTCTCTCTCTCTCTCTCTCTCTCTCTCTCTCCATGGAGAGATATGTATATACATATGTGTGTGTTATCTATCTATAATACACACACATATGTACACACACAAGTCCACTCATCTTTCTATGACCAAAACCAGCAGGATGTGCAGACTCCTCAGTAGTCCTCGAGGAGGGAGACACCTGTAACCCTAAACCCCACTCCCCTCTCTAAATTTCTGCAGAAAACTGTAAGCCTCCCTTACTCAACCAAAGTTTTGTAGTCAAACCAAATACCCTCTTACCCCTTTCACCTCGCCCACCACCCCCACATCCCAAGCATCTCAGCTTTCCAGGACATTTCCCAGGACTCGAGGTCTCACCTCCCTGGCAGTGGCCAAACCTCAAGCTTGATTCCGAGGCAAACGGGGCTCTGGGAGCTCTCACTACCCCAGAATGGGCAGCGAGGGAGCTGGGCAGTGGGAGCCGGCTTGGTGGCAGCGTCGCTAAGCGCTGCGCTTCAGCTCCACAGCTCCACACTGGATCGGACCGGCAAGCGCACACACTACCTCTCTCTGCGTCTCCGTCCTATCTTTTCGTCTCCTTTTTCTCTGCTGTGCCCTGCGCCTGGTCTGCTTTGAGTGCGAAAGTGCCCTTCTCCACTCCTGCACAACCGGCCTGTCCCTCTGCATCTGGGGCTCACCTATTTATACTTTCTCTCGCTCCTCTGTTCCCAGTTCTTGGAGATACCGTGCGGCTTGCCCCATCGGGACTAGCTCCTCCCTTTCTCCCGTGACGCCATCCCTCCCGCGGGCTGCCCTTAGCCTGGTATCCAGAGACTCCTCCTATCTCCACCTCCATCCTCCCATCCCTTCTCCGCCTCCGTCCCCGCCCACTTGGCATCTTTCGTGCCCTGAGGAGGGGGAGGGCCAGGGTTGGGACCCGGGCGAGCTCTGGCGGCAGCTCTGGGAGGCGCAGGGCTTAAACTCATTCAAGGATTGTCCCCTCACCAGCTACTCAGAGTAGCGTTACCATAGCTCTAGAACCCTGGACTTGAGGTAGGGAGCGGTGTCCTCAGCAAAGCTGCTGCTGAGGAGAAATGCACCGGAATGAGTGAGGATCACTAAGTGCCCCGAACTGAGCAGGAACACAACTCTCAGAAGATAGGATTTAGAGTTGGAAGGGACTTTAGTCCAACTCCCTCTTTTTGCAGAGTAGGAAACCGAGGTCCAAAGATTCGAAGTTGCTTGCCCAGGAACACGACGAATATCAAAGCTGGGACTCCAATCTAGAACCCCTAACCAATGTAAGGAAGTAGGCTAATTCAACTCATCCTCAGAGCATGGAGTGCTTGAATATGTCATGTTTCCTTTGTAGTCTTGAGATGGAACCTACCTACTATGTTATTTTCCAGGGTTCAAGAGTGTTCTGTCCCAGAGCTGCCCCCAGACTGGGAAGTCTATCAGTTTGATTAAGGGAACTCTAATTCACGGAATGAAAATTGTCGCAATATTAGGACCGGAAGAATCTAATCAACAGCACTCAAACACCCCCTCCCCATTTTACAGAGGGGAAAAAACTGAGGCTCAAAGAAATCAATTGCTTGCCTAAGGTTACAAAGATGATAAGCAGCAAATCTCTCGATTCTTTCCCTGGTACTTAAACACCAAAAGCAAATTCAATCGCAGGATGCTATCCCTCTCATTGGCAGAGGGTGGTGCCTGTGCTAAGTGGTACCTGCTAGGTAGGTGTGGGACCCAGCTGAAAATAGAAGCTGCAGGTGTCCTTGCAGTTTCTAGTGCTTTTTAAAAGATGAGCAGATCCGCAATCAATTAATAACGTCTTCTTCCCCATAAGGGTGAGCAAGACCTCCGGGCCTGGGCCGGTAGAGACCTTTCTCCCAAGGTTACGCTTCTCTGCCTCTAGCGCCCAGGGAGGGGTTTCCTCCCCAGTCCTTTGGCAGCATTGTCTGCTTATTTTTCTGAACTTCTGGGAGATGAAAGAGAAAGACTCAGCTGGAAGGAATCCAGCACCAGGGCAGCACCCTCCTCTTTCTCCCTTTATCCTTTGAGGCAAAATAAATGGGAGAACCTAACCACTCTGGACCTTTTCTTTGATCCTTGTTTCTTTGCCTTGCTTCCCCTCCCTCTCCACTCCCCCCACCCTCCCAACTCAATAGAGTCTTAGGAACAGGAGAAAAAAAATTTATTTGTGGGGAGAGTTGCCTTGTAATTTTCAAGTTCCAAATTTAGATCTTTACAATCAAGATTAGTTTTCCTTTTTAACACAGTATCTAAGTCCTGGAAGGGATCCTAAAGATGGCCTAGACCTCTCTTTCTCCATTTCACCGATAAGGAAAATGAGGCCCAAAGTGGTTAAGTCATTTTACCCAAGGTCACTTAACTAGTTGGTAACTGGGCTAGGCTCCTGAAGACTCCTGACTCCCCCAGTCCCTGCACTTTTCCCTGGACCATGTTGCTTCTCTGTTGTAAAAGAGGTTTTGTTTTTATTTTTTCTCTCATCAGAAGTGAGTGTTTTTGAGCACTATAAGGTGGGAGTTTCATCAAAGAGCTCTGCAGATAGCTGTACTTTCAAAATAAAGCAGAAGGGGGAAAAAAGGAATCTGGCTTTGATGGTGGACCTGGCATTATGCACACAGGAAAATGCTTTCACAACCCACAGAAATATTCAGAAGATAAAAATGTTACTGCAAATTCCAAGTCAGTTCACCTCAAACAAAGATGTACTCCAACAACCTAAGGGAAAATGCATGAGTCTGGCTAATTACAGACAATAGCTGAGCCATCTAAAATCTAACTCATCCTCCTCTTTCCCCAAAGCCCTCCCCCTGCCCCCCCCCACCGCAGCTACCAACTTCCTTATATCAGTCAATGATAGCACCATTGTTCTAGTCATCAGGCTCAAACCCTGGAAGTCATCTTTGACTTTTCTCTTTCTCCTACTATTCACATGCAATCCACCACCAAATCCTATTGATTCCAGACTCTCCACTTCTATTGGGGGAAGGAAAGGAATAAGCATTTATATAGTATTCACTAGGTGCCAGACATTCTGGTAAATGCTTTATAAATATTATCTCATCATCCTACATAATAACGGCCCAGTTTTCCTAAAACACCACTTAGCCCCAGGCTTTAAAGTGTCCCCTTTAAAGATGAGGATAATAATATTTTCAGTACTTACTACATGGAATAGGCAAAAAAAAATTAAAAAGGAAATAATATATGAGAAATAATACATAAATGTAGGCTAGCACTCTTGTTAATGAGTAGTAGTATTTGAGGCAGTTATGTGGAGGAAGGCAGTGGCTACAGTGCTGGCTCTGGAGTCAGGAAGACTCATCTTCCTAAATGCAAATCTGGCCTCAGACACTGACTAGTTGTACAATACTGGCCAAGTCACTTAACCCAGTTTGTATCAGTTTCCTCATCTATAAAATGAGATGGAAAAGGAAATGGCAAACCACTCCAGTATCTTTGCCAAGAAAACCCCAAATGGGGTTATGAAAGAGTTGGACATATCTAAACAACAAAAGTAGTTTTTAACTATGATTATATTTATTTTCTTTATATTTATTCTGCAATTGATATATATATAAAGTATATTTATGAGTGTGTATCATATGTAGGTATATACACACAAATATGTATATTCCCTCCCCCTTTTCAAATTCCCCTTGATAGTAGGACTTATTTCCTTCTTTGAAGCCCCAGTGCTTAGCACAGGATCTGGCAAATAGTAGATGCTTAATAAATGCTTATTAATTGATTACTGAAAGGCAGCATGGATATAGGGCCAGCCTCCAGAGTCAAGGAAACCTGGATTCAAATCCTGTCTCTAACAAAAAATGGCTGTGTGACTCTTGGGAAGTCTCGGCTTCTAAGTGCCACAATTTGAGAGGAACTATTGGCTTGCAAAGATCAAAGGAGTTTCCAAACCAGGTCTCTGCACTGATGAAATCATTGTTCTGGACGACCCCCCCCCACCCAATCATTATCATTGCAGAGTTCAAAATCCTTAGCTTGATCCCTGTGATCTGACTTAAATTACCTTTACAACTCTATATTCCATGACTCAGTTACTCAGAATAACAGAGTGGAACTCTAGCATCAAAAGACTTGGACTGGAAACCTTATCCTAACATTTGTTAGTTTTGTGACTGACGGCAAGTCACTTAACCTCTCTGAGTCTAAGCTTTGTCATCTGTAAAATGGGAATAATTCTTAGCTCAGAGCACTATTGTGAGAAAAAAACATTTGTAAACCTGAAGTTACACCACATAAATGTGAGTTTTTATTTACGGCTTTGAATTCTCCTCTAAAACTATTCTTGTGATCTCCCATACGTGCTTTGCATATCCAATAAATATTTATTGATTGAATTAATATACAGGTTGAAAAACAGGCATGTAAAACTAGGAAACTGTATAATCCTCTAACACTCAAAACCATGACAATTCACACTGTGGACTGACACCAGAACTGGCTCACCTCTTATAATGAGTCCACTTTGGGTCCATTAATTCACTTCCAGGATGCCTTGATGGGGATGAAGCTCACTTGCTCTAAGAAACTTTCTCTAAATATGCCATTCTCCAGACTGGCTCTTTGACCCAGCCTTTTCCATTAATGTACTTCATTAGGTATAATTACAGAGATTTTGGTTGCCTTTCTCTGATTTCCTTCATTAAATTTTAATCTCCTAAAGTGAACTTCTTTGTTCTTTAGGATGTAGTTCGACACCTAGAACCCAAGTAAAGCACTTCCTAAATTCCTGATGTCGTTTGTTTATTAGCATTAAAAAAAAATTGATGCCAACCGAGCACAAAGTGAATTTGGCAGCTTTCAGGTTAACTTTATCAATTAATGGCCAATGTAAAGGCAAGATGTCATGTGCAGAGGTGTCAAACTCAGGCTTACAGGCTGCATGCAGCCTGCAACACTCCCCCAGGGATCCTTATGTACAGGTCAGCAGCCTCTGTTTCAATTTGAATTTGATAACACTGGAGTAAAGGGTGTCCTTTTAGGCTTGGAGTCAGGAAGACCTGGGTTTAAATCACATATCTATTACTTTCTAGCTGCACAGCCCTGGATACCATCTCTGTGGGCCTGAGGTAACTCTCTCAAATGTATGTTGGTGGAGAAAATTCCTCCAGGTCCTATAACTTCCCTTTATCCCTGCCTCCCTTTCAATAGTGGGTCATAACAGCCAGACTATAAACTAGTCTATTCTGACCTACAGTAAAGCATTTGATTATGATGGAGAAAAGAGAAAGTCTGGTTATATATCAAGAGACAATTAGAGGGAGAGCCCAAATACTATAACGAGATTCTAAAACAACAAGAAAAGATTCTAAAACAACCAGGTAGTGAACCTGGTTTGGAGTATTAATGGAAAGGTATGGAAAAGAATCAAAAAAGGTAAGAAGGTATGAAGGGTTTGCATCTGCACTGATAAAGGGAAGACCCCACAAATGAAGTAACAGAACCACTTTATGAAGTAAAGAGACCAAATGAACCTGATCCTTATTCAGAAGTATTGATCAAACTTTCTCTCTCTGTCTCTGCATACACACACACACACACACACACACACAGAGTATATATATGTGTATATATATATGCATATATACACGTATATGTGTGTGTATATACATACACACATATGTATATGCATATGTGTGTATATATATACACATATGCATATACATGTATATATATACCCACATATATTATATATATATATATATATATAT